TCTCAAATATGATGAGAAATAAACCCCAACAAAAATAAGGCTTACAATTTTCTTCAGGCAGTTCTACAAAGTGCAGAACTAAAATCAAATATACCCAAGAGAGGCACATATCAGAATTTTCTCAACCTCTAACACAAAGCAAAATTAAAAATACAATTTTCTTCCAGCCCTTTGGCTTAAATAAAAGCTTGTAAATTCTTATTAAAAGAGCTATTATATTATTCTATTCAGCTTCCTGGATAGAAACTAACCCAAAAGAGGGATGACTTGTGTTTTTAGGTTTTTTCCCAAGTTCCCTAAGGCTCACAAAAATATAACCCCTGTTTTTGCCTCTGTCCAGCATCTACAGACATGGAAAACGCATGCAGCAAGAGGGGTGGTATAATCATATGTGTTGCTAAACAGTTAAGAAACTTTAGTTTGAACTATAGGTCCCCATCAAGGTCAACCTAATTTTTCTTTGTGATTAAGTACCATGTGCTCCACTGTGCAGATAGGTCTGTCAGATCTTAAAATGTGGAAGTGTCATCTCAGTCAATATTAAAGTTCCCATGGTACTTTTCATAAAATGAAAAGTTTCCTCTTGTGTCGTTGATCAACATTAACACTCCTTCCACTGAGTACTAGTGGCTTGATGCTCTGTCCCACAAATATGACAATGTTTTAGTGGTACTGGAGACATATGGTATACAGAATATTTGGGAAATCTTTCATGGTGATGGGTGCTAAATGTACGTAAGATATTTTTAATTTCAAGGAACAGTGTTAGTGTGATGATTTGAGGAATCTATGTACACCCCATAAACTGATTTTATGAAGTTGGTGTGAAATTATTGTATCATTGAATGCTTGTTATGTGGTGGTCGATTCTACCATTTGCTGACCAGGGTTGTAGCTCTGCTATCCCTGATCCCTTCCAAACTAGGAACAATGGAGAGTTAGAAACCTTAACAACGGTGTATGCTAAGGTAGTTGCCTGAACGGGGAAAACAGTTTGACCAAGTTTCTTTCCAGAAAGCTGTCGAATTAGAGAATGGAAAATCACCAATAGCAGAACAAAGAGACCAGGTGTTGGCAGAGATGCATATAAATTCAAAGGAATCAGAAACACACCGGGGGCATGTTTCATATCAGAGGTGTTTCCTATTTAACTATGGGACCAGATAAGATCAGAGAAAACAGAGAAATTCAAAGAGGGGAGAGAGACTTTATGATTCTGAAGAGAAGCTGTGAGCTTCAGAAGCAGGATCCTGGACACCAGACAGGACTTTGCCAAAGCTCAAAGAACTCTTCAGCGTTGAGGAAATTGATCAGAGAAATGCATATAGGTGTGTTTGCCATTTTGTCTAAATATGTGGATTTCTCATGCTGCTAAGTAAAGAGTAAATTGTGTTTAGATTCCTGTGTAAAACCTGTGTGTCTGTTTCCTTTCAATGCCATATGTCCCTGAAGAGTCAAATTGTAAACTTAGACCAGCCTTGTGGCTTGAGTTCTGGGAGAGAGTGTGTTTAAATTACAGGTGGACTTTGAGGAGCCCTGCTCAAATACAGAGATCAGACAGTTTGGACTGAGGCTCCCAGCTGTTAGGAGGGAGTGCTAGAGAGGATCTGTACTACAAGAGTGTGCCTAGAAACACCATGTTGGCATCATGTTTGAACTCTGCTCAGATTCAAGAGTCTTAAAGCACATGTGGCTAATTAGGTAGAGGCTGGTGACTCTGTGTGTGTGTGTGTGTGTGTGTGTGTCCCCAATCAACTCCATTTCACTATAACTTTAGTTGTTAAAAGGACAGAACTAAATAAAATAGATTAATAAAGTCTAATTTCATTTAATTTTGCTGTGGGTAACATAAGACAACAACTTCTGGCTGCTTCAATTGTGAATGTAAATAGCATTTGCTGATGCCTGCTTGTATAAGTATTGCAATGTACGGTGTAACTTAAGGAACCGAGCAACTGCAGATGCTTAATAAACAATCACTATTATATGGAATAAGAGCAAAGTAAAATCATAGACTTGGGAAAATCAGAAGACATGGGTTCTAATCCCAGCCAGCTAACTTGTCTTGTGTGTCTGTGCTTTAGTGGCCTCATCTGTACAAAAGGGCAGAGTATCATACTTAACAAGGGTGTTTTGAAGTGTAATCAAGAAGTGTTTGACTCATGCTAACTATCACTACTAAGACCTTAAAGATCGTTCCTTCCTTGCATACACTCTTCAGTTTCAATAGACTATAGAGTATGTCACTTCCTGTCATTTACTCCTGCTTTGTGCAACTGTATGGTTGCTTCTTTTCACCCCAGAGGTGACTGCATTTCTGTAGCCAGACACAAAACCCCATCTTGTTTTTCCACGAGCCCCATCTTGTTTTTCCCCCCCCAGAGAGCAAGAGAAAGGCAGTCAGCCTTTGATGCCCTGGGAACGCAGGTGTGGTGCCTGTCCCTAACTCTACCATAAACAGAAACCAGACAGTAAATGGGCTAGCTGACGACTGGGAGGCCTCCCGTCGCCGTGATGGCTAGTATCAGTAATTGACACGCCTGCACTGTCTCGGGAGAGGAATCTTCGCCCATCACATACCAGAGGTGCCCATTGTCTGCATCTTCCCAGGTGTGAATTATGCTTTGCACCCTTCGTGGGAAACTTGGCATTCAAAGCCATTTTTCCTGATTGGCCACTTGAGACCAGGAAGAAGCCCATGTGACCCAAGGGGTATAAAGAGGGTTGAGTTGCCCACCCAATTTGAGCTCCAATCACCTACACCTGCTGGCAGGTATTGATTGTCTCCCGAGGTCCGTGGGACGCCCAACCTCGCCCTACTTCTTCCCGAGGGATTGAGAGAAAGACGCTGGCCACGCCAAGTCTGGAACGCAGGGGTGAGAATTGTACCTGCAATGTGTTTTCTTTATGTGTACACTCTAATTGTCTCTCTGTTGTAAGTTAGTTACTTTATTATAGTTTTCTTAAAGTCAAACTGCTTCATTTCTATTGTAAATCACCTTTGGTAAGGTGATTTTGCTATAAACTTTGGGAACAAGTGGGGTGCCCTCATTCACTTATAAAATATATATATCTATATACACTGAACCAAGTTTCTTTATTTCTTTTCTCTTTCTTTCTCCTATAAATAAGCCAGTGCGTGTCAAGCTTCTGACTTGAACCCGTGCTGCTGTACCCGAACCGAACACAAACAAAAGAACTTCAGCCGGTCATAAAGGGACAGATATAGGGAGAGCTTGGGCGTTTGAATTTGTGTCACACCCAGGTGGCAAAATTCAGTTGGGGCGCTTCTCAGTCTCCCCGAGGCTGCCCGCTGCGAAGGAATTATGAAATTCTAGCAGCTAAAATCTGAAGCGTAATAAGCTCTCCCTGTACACTTATTGGGGCGCCTTTCAACCTCTTCCAGGTTGCCCACTGCAAGGGACCCCCGGTCTCAGCAGTTAAAGTCTTAGGCGTATAGTACACACATAGTATAGGAAGAGCTTGGGCGTTTGAATTTGTGTCACACCCAGGTGGCAAAATTCAGTTGGGGCGCTTCTCAGTCTCCCCGAGGCTGCCCGCTGCGAAGGAATTATGAAATTCTAGCAGCTAAAATCTGAAGCGTAATAAGCTCTTCCTGTACACACTGGGGCGTCTGTTAGCCTGTTTGGCTACCCTCTGCGACGGGACCTCGGTCCTAGCAGTAAAGTCACGGACGTTAAACTACTTTTCAGGGTGCCCTCCAGCCTCCTAGGCTGCCCGCTGCAACGAGACTTTGTGTCTCAGCAGTTGAAGACTTGGGTGTAAAACACACGCACACACTGCCCTGACCGTCGGCTGACAATTTCAAAGGTGAATGAAGTGGTTGCATAGGTCTGAAGATTGCCAATACACGTTGGCACAAAAATAGGTCAGTCATTTATTATTTGTGTAATTATTCAGTCCACTACGATCTTTGTGCACCTGTGGACATTTTGTCGGGACAACTGCTTAACTATGCCCTGTTGGTACTGCCATTGGATTGTTCTTGAGTGCTTATTTCCCTGCTTATATGGCTTCTACCATCTACGTCTGGAAGCCATTCCATTACTCGCCAGCTGTGAATGTCCTCAGCGGCCCATGACACTGCCTCAGAAAAGTGACCAGAAGTGAGGTTGCAAGACATGGGCAACATATCACCCCACCACTCAGGAATCATGATCATATGTACTGCACTCAGTCTGTTTGCAGGGTCTCCTGCTAGGACACTTCCTAATACTGAAATCCTTAATTGTGGTTGGATGGCTGGCATTCAAAGAATGCTCAGAGCAGCTCAGCTCCATTGATCTGGGCCACTTGTTTGTATGGCTGACTCAAGAATATTCAAGGCTATATGATAGGGTCAATTAAAGTAAGGCACCGTAGTGGTCATTACAAACACTTGCAAGCGTGACAGGCCTACCCCAGTGACTGTGAAGCAACAGCTCCTGACAGAGCAAGATGGCAGCAGATTTGCCATGTTACTATTAAGTAGTTTAAAATAAGGCTCAGCAACACCTCACTTGAAAAACTCAGACAGCACAAAGCAAGGACACAACAGCCTCCAAAGATCTTGCACAATCTTGTCTATTCCACATTTAGTCATGCTAGCCATTCTCACAGCACAAGCTCGTTTGTCCTCAGTTTTGTACAGGTATTTTAGAATTATCCTGTTGTTTAAAATTACAGGTATGAATGTGAATGAGGCATTAAATTTCCTTTTAGTGCAATAGATATTGAGCTTTAGGGGTCTAATGTGGAACTATAATTGAAGTACAAGACTGAACAGTACTAGTTAACCAACTATTTTCCTAAAGAGAGAGACATGGAAATTGTTGTATCCCTGAAAACTGGGAGCATCTGGATTTATACTTCATAGTTGGATATGTGCCCACTTCTTGATTGTACCAATTATTGCAGCTCTCAAAGCTCTATTGCTAATTCAGCAAAGGATTCGGATAAGAAAACCCAGAAAGGCTGAAAGAAAAATGGATAACACTCACAATTTCATTATAAGTAGGGTCAGTGCTTTTTGGAACAGCTTTTGTTTTCCTCCTGCTGACTTCTTCAGGATCTGGTAAAAGATAAAATTCAGCATGTGCAGTTGGGGCAGAGCCATCTGGGAGATGCTGTAGAACAAAAGGTTTATAAATATGAATGTTCGTATTTCTATCAAGGAAAACAAATAGAGGTACCAAATTAATTCGGGACTCAAAGCAGACATGAGGAGACTTACTACACTGAACAAGTTTTATTGGTATAAAATGAAGTGCTATTCAATGTAAACCAAAGAAATACACAGAATTTAATCTCAGGTTGTGTTGGGGAAAGTAATTGAAAAAAATAAAAACAAAATAAAATCCTCTATGTTTAAGACTTTTAGTGGAAAAACCCTTAAGCATCAATCCACTTGAACTCATTTGAAACTGGTATGCAATGTAGCCCTTAAAATTGTCAAAGCTATGCACAGAAACTGGAGTTTAGCCAGATCACTCCAATTGACCTTAATTCCTAAAAATGAGCCAGTTCCAAGATTGATATGGGAACAGTTGATTGTTTATAAGGATGTTTCATAGAGGATGCTAGTGCAGAAGATTCAGGAGCATTTTCAGCAGCAATATGGGCAGAAACGGATAAGTATATAAAGCCTCTCCCACCCCCATGTCAGCAGAGTTGGAAATTCTCTTTAGTCCCCCATTGACACAGCATATATTGATTACTGGGCACGAAATCAGCTAGGACAGGAAAGGAAAGGGCCAAAGGAAGAGAGAATAGCTGTGGAGATCAAGAAGGCTGGTTGAAATATGAATAGAGGACAGGGAGAAATGTGGATGTTAGAGAAAGAGATGGAGATTGCATATAGTTATCTGGGAGAGAGTCTGGTCTATTTTGTGAAGGGATTGTGAGGCAAGTTAGGGGGAATCATAGAATCATAGAATAATAGGACTGGAAGGGACCTCGAGAGGTCATCGAGTCCAGCCCCCCACCCTCAAGGCAGGACCAAGCTCCGTCTACACCATCCCTGACAGATGTCTATCTAACCTGTTCTTAAATATCTCCAGAGAGGGAGATTCCACCACCTCCCTTGGCAATTTATTCCAATATTTGACCACCCTGACAGTTAGGAATTTTTTCCTAATGTCCAATCTAAACCTCCCCTGCTGCACTTTAAGCCCATTACTCCTTGTCCTGTCCTCAGAAACCAAGAGGAACAAATTTTCTCCTTCCTCCTTGTGACACCCTTTTAGATATTTGAAAACTTCTATCATGTCCCCCCTTAATCTTCTTTTTTCCAAACTAAACAAGCCCAGTTCATGAAGCCTGGCTTCATAGGTCATGTTCTCTAAATCTTTAATCATTCTTGTCGCTCTTCTCTGTACCCTTTCCAATTTCTCCACATCTTTCTTGAAATGTGGCGCCCAGAACTGGACACAGTACTCCAGCTGAGGCCTAACTAGTGCAGAGTAGAGCGGCAGAATGACTTCACGAGTTTTGCTTACAACAATGAAGACTGAAGAAGAGAAGAGCACAAACTAGGAGCTGAAAATGAATATACTTGTTCTGCTGTCTCTAAGGCCCCTAGTAGATGTTTTAAAGGAAGATGCAAGAAAGCTTCTTCCTACTAGTGATAGAAATGTAGCCGTAGTCTTGGCTCATGCATGTGCAGAGCAGTGCCTGAATTCCTCACTTAGGCTCTCCCAAACCAGGGACCATCAAAATGCTGACCAGCACATCATGTAACATTATATAACATTATATAACATAACATGTAACATAATATAACATAACATCACAGGTGTTTATCAAAATATCAGCAACATTGAAGGTGTTTTTAGGCTTTTAGAGAGAACACTTACTGCCCAGTTTGCAAGCATCAGAAGGAAGTAGGCCTCCAGGGACAGAGAGTGAAATGAAACTCCATGTAAACAAACAAAAAAATAAAAAATGTTGGCGTGATTGCGGCTGAGAGTGTTATTTTGGCTGTGCAATCATAGCTACATTCCTCATTTCAGCTTCACCTGACCCATTACAAAGTACTTGCTCAGATTTTGGTAATTCATTGTATGGGACCAGAAATGTTAGATTTCCTACAACAACAACAACGTATCTTGCAAATGGAGATGCTACAATTATCCGAGCAATCAATGGCATCTATATGGAAGAGAAGGGGTGTTTGTGTATATATAACAATTAGTTGTTGACACAAAGACATTGGGTTTTGTGAGGTTTTTTTTGTTATGTGAAGTGATTCCTCACAGTATATGACTCAATCAACCATATCGCTTAATGTTAATGTTGTTACCATTGCTTATATAGCACACTTCTGGTATTACACAAATCATCAACATCTCTTCCATCCCATCAAGAGTTCAGGAAATGAAGTGAAAAAGACTATCATCCATTTTAAATACATAAGGAATGGAGATACACAGAATGCAATTATGCAAATCAGAGCTTCATGAGGGCACTGAGGCTAACAGGCAATTTCATAGGACAGGGTACTGCACTGTTAAATCGACACAGGATTAGGCTTCAAACCTCTTGAAAAGCCCCTCTGTAGGGAGTTAGGGCCTATCATACTAGGACCTACAAAAGTAAAAGCAGCAGTCTCCCCTAAACCGAGCAGGATCAAACCAATCTAGTCTTAAACATTAGTCCAAGGTGCACAAGTTCTCACCACACCCCCCCTTCCTCAAGGGAAAAGAGATGACCTTTTCAACATGAAGGACCGGCATAGTTTAGATCAAAAGGGAGACTGGGTTCCAAAATTCAGCGTCCCTCATGGAGAATGTTGGGACAGCAGCTCCCTCTCTTTTCACCTGGGAAGAGAGGAGGAGACCCAGCTCAAGTCAGAAGTAGCACTTCTATCCCACCCTGAAAGCAAGAGTCAGCATTCAGAGAGCGCTCATGTCACATACTCATGGTGAAAGGCCTAGTGATGAGGGCACTTTCCTGAAAAGTTCAAGAGCCAAGCTCAAATCCACAGGCAGGAGAGGAAACTTGAATGGAGACCTCCTCCCCACTGGACCATAGATCATATTGCTCTCAATTTCTCTGCTGAAACAGTTCTACTAGGGCAGTAGGTTTCAAACTTTTTTTTCTCATGTCCCAGTTGAAGAAAACTGTTGATGCCCATGACCCAGCATAATCTGGCTAGAGCGTGGGCATTGGGGAGGGCTGAGGATGAGTGCTTTGGGGTGTAGTGGGGAGTGAGACTCTGGCTTTTGGGGTGTCAGGGCTGGGGCAGGAGAGGCTCATCTTGAGCAGTTCCCAGTAAGCAGGGCAGTGAGGATGTTAAGGCAGGTGTCCTGCCTCTCCTTGCAAACTATGCTGCATCCCAGAAGCAGCCAGCAGCAGGTTTCTAGCGAATTGGAGTGTGGAGCTAGTGCTCGGGGCAGAGGCAGTGCACTGAGCCCTGTGTGCTCTCCCCACACCCATCACCACCTAGGAGCTGAGCATGCTGTCAGCCTGTTCTGGGGTGCAGCACAGTCTGAGGTGTAGGACAGACAGGTAGCCTGTCTTAGCAGCCCCACTTGATCACCCTGCAACAATGAGACCCAGTGCCTGACATTCCACAACCCAGTACTGGGATGCAACCTGTAGTTTGAAAACCACTGCACTAGGGTATAAACTCTGCTTTCAAATCTTTCCTGTTGATGGTACTTAAATATTCACTGGTCAGGTAGAGAGAGACATACATTCATTTCTTTTCTCTGCATGATTCAGAGGAGGGATTTGAATACCTTAATCATCAGGCAGTTCTCCAGCTGGAAGGATGGGGAAGGCAATACTACCCACAATGCAGCAACACTATCTGGTCCCAGATTTTGCTGGTGCTGTTGGGTTCTGCAAGGTGCCTTTGAATGGGACTCACCTACATGAGAGCCTGAGATTGGTATGGGCAGGCTAGGTTGGAACAATGAATCATGGGGAACTTTAACATCCCCAGATAGCTGTGTTTAGGAGTGACTGGTCTACATAATTTGCTGTAGTTGCCTTTGAAAAAACATGATATTCGGACATGAATTTTTCTTAGGAAACACAAAACTTATTACAGAAGCATAAATCTGAAGAACAGACAATGCTTAATGACAAACAGGTCAAAACTAAAATGACTGCATTTGAGATGGGGGTTGATTATTCATTTTGTACTGAATTGCTAACTCCTTATATAATCTCTATTGCATGTGGCATTTGGGATGGCTTTTCTCAATTAGCACAGGAGCTCAATATTGCCTCGTGAAGAACCTATTTCACTGAAAGATGGTCTGAGACAAGGCACACAATCAGACCTGAGGAGGCTACAAAAGAGGCTTTAGTTTCTTAATTCAAAATGATTATTGTCAGACACACACACCATCCCAGGGAACAACTAGGAAATATTGTCAATTTGGGAAACGCAGTGTGAAACCAAGAGTGGGGCTAACATGGCAGAATTCTCAAGAAATCGTTTTGAAGTGACCGTCTCATCTAAGTTGAGCACTTATCTGAAGAAAGAAGACAACACAAGCAAATATTACCTTCCTAAGAATGACGTTCTCCACTGCTAGCTTTCACGATGTTGCATCTAGTAGGCTGAATCTCCTGTGGCTTCCTTCTAATGCAGAGTACACTAGCAAAACTATCACTGGTGTTACATAAAGTTCAAGTAAATGAGAGGAATATCAGACCGAAATGCTAGTCTTAATTATTCCAAAGTATCATTGTTGTGTAAATTCAGTATAAATGGTGAGTAAGATTTTCAAAAGAGACAAGGAATGAAACTAGATGTATTGGTACCTATGGAGGCCCCATTGGTTTATATATAGTGGCTCCAGAATGTCATTGACTTTTCCTTTATAACATTTCCACCACTTCCATTGTGATTTTAGGAGAAACCGAAGAAGAAGATTGGCAGCTGTTTTCATGATTTTACTTAGTTTGGAATTTTCAATGGTGTATAAAGTAGCTGGAATTTGTTCAATGTATACAGAAAGTTTGGGCCAGTTTCTTCAACACATTAGCCTCTTCAGGGTAAAACAGATCACTGTGTCAAATAACTGAGTACTTATGAGGAAGCAAGTGCAATAAATTAATTGGAAATTCTGCTTTAAAGTTCCTGCTATTAGCAGATCAAAATAACTGGTTT